CTAGGTAAGTGCACTACTGCTGAGCCCTAGTCCCAGCCCTAAGATTTTTTTTTTTTTTAATGAGAGCTCCTAGTGTGATTTGGAGTGTTCACATTTGAGATGGATGTTAACCAATAGCATATGACAAGAAGAAAACTGTAGTGGGTGGGCAGTTTCCTTTCTCAAGTGGAGCAGTACCCTACATTTGACAAAATCACAGTACGATTCTTTCATCATATGGCTCATGCATGATTCAAACACATTGCAGGTGAAATTCTATATTTGATAAACAACAATGGGGTACCGTGACAGATTCACGTATTTTGGGTATCCCGAAGAGCAGCACTCACCCGGAACTGATAACCTCCGACAGCTCTTGGCCTGTCAGTACACTTTGAAGCAGAGCTGGGAGCCTGTTGGTGTGTGGGATTGGTTGTTACACTGCTGTCAAAAAATAATTCATTGAGTTATGGGATGTTATTGCCCAAGGGACCTCAGAAAGCATTGCCCCAGGCTGCTGGTTTAACCATAAGGAGAATGAGTAAGGAGAATGAGGCCATTGGAGGTGGTGAAATGCTTTGGCTGAGAAAAAGAAGCCAGCCTCCTTCCCATTCTTTCTGAGGTTCACCTCATTGCTGACAGTGGCCATCTATCTTTTTTTTTTTTTTTGAGTAGTATTTCAGTATTTCAACTTTGAAAAGTGCTTATAAAAATAGGCCTAGCTGGACTTTGGGCAAATCAAAGAGAGAGAGCGTGACCCACGAAATCACCTTTCCTTGGACTTTACATTCATAGGTCACTTTTTCCTCTTCTGTTTGAATACTTTGAACATTTAATCCATTGTGCTGAAATCTGGCATCTCTGCCTACTTATGAGCTCCTTGATGACAGGGATTGAATCTTTTCTTTTTTTTTTTTTAGATTTGGATTCTAGAAATAGTACTTGTTCAGAATTCAAATCATGATATTAGTAGTTAATATTTATAAGTCACTCACTATATACCAGTTACATCGCTAAGCATCTTGCATAGATTACCTCATTTAAATCTTACCACCACCTTACCACATCATCATCTCCCCTTTAAAAATGAACTGAGACTAAGTTACTCACCCAAGGTAACAAACCCTGTTAAGTGGGACGGAACCCGGGGTAATCGGAATCCAGGTTGCCAGGCTGCTTAAAAACTGGAACAGAACTGAGAAGACTGGGCTTCATCCTAATACCTCTGCTCCCATTAGAGAATGTCCCCAGGGAGTCAGAAGGCAATGATCTCATCTCTGAAAATGACCAGGAAGAACAATGTCAGTCACAACCTCGGACTTGGCAAAGGAGAAATTTGACCTGCAGCCTGCGTGTGTTGTAGGGCTATACTGGTTTGGGGTAAGACGTGGTTTGCTTACAAAAATAACACAGCTGACTTTCCGTGCTAAGGTCACAAAAAACGTCTGTACTGTTATAGAATAGCTCTTGAGGAAAGGAAGGGATGACACGGGAGGATTTAGAATTTATTGGCTTTGGGAAGCAGGACAGGAAAAGGAGAGAGTGAGATGGAGAAGAAAGAAGAAAAGCAGGAGGCAAGTACTATAGGATGAGGTCTTGTTTCTTAAAATTAAGGGTGTCCGTTTAGTGATGGTATGCCAAATGTTATCCTGTTACAATTTTTAAATAGTAGAAAAGAGTCCAGTAGCATTCCTTGATGCTTTGATGCAAAGACCAACATAATCTGAGTGGGTGGGAGTTGTCTAAAGATAGGGTCTTTACTACCAGCTTTGAAATGTAGCTGGGAAAGATGAAGAACTGGGAAAACCTTGGGAACCAGGATGCCTGATCCAAATCACAGGCAAATCACCTGATGGCCTGGGAACCAGTTGCCTCATCAAAAAAATGGAAGGATTGGAAAGCCCATTCATTATCGGTGAAATTCTCTCTGGCTCCTGTTGTTCATGATACAAGATAATAGAAGCAGCTCTAAGAACCAGGACTCATGCCTCTCTCTGGCTCTCCTGCCCCAATTGCTCTTCACCCTTCCCACATACAGAATTGCCTGTCATTCACTCATTCTCCCATCTATCTCATAAGTACCTCTTAAGCACCAAGGACTCTGGGGCTATCCCAGTGAATGCCCCCGCCCCACAGGTCTCAAGGAGGTCATAGAATAAGTGGAGAAATATAAATATTTAGAAAATGGTGCCATGGAAAAGGGCCCTAACAGAGGCACATCTTGGTTTTGAGAGGGCATAGAAGAGGTCACCGTTACATGTGATTAGCTCAACTTAAATTCATCAAAGAAAGAGAAGCCTGGATGTTCTGTATGTTCTCATTTTTCAGGTGAATGTTTCTTTTACAGACATATAGTAAGACTTAGAATCCTTCACTTCTATAGACTGCACATTTTTAGGAATCCTATAAAACACCACCATTTTTCTTCACTTGGAGGTTGTTTTACTTCTATTAGAAATGATGGAGCTCATAAAAGGGAGCCAGTTCAATTCAAAACACATTTATGGAGGCCTGGGGGGGGGGGCCTGTGCTAGGCAGGCCTTCTGTGGGGAAGAAAGGCCTGCAGGTTCAGCTTCAGGCCGCTGTGAAGAGCTTTCTCTTACTAACTGCTGACCTTGAGCATAACCTGTCCCCAGATTCTCTCAGCAAAAAACAGGCCACCATGGGCTGGAGATGTGGCTCAAGCGGTAGCGCGCTCGCCTGGCATGCGTGCGGCCCGGGTTCGATCCTCAGCACCACATACCAACAAAGATGTTGTGTCCGCCGAGAACTAAAACTAAATATTAAAAAAAAAAATTCTCTCTCTCTCTCTCTCTCTCTCCCTACTCTCTCACTCTCTCTTTAAAAAAAAAAAAAAAAAAAAAAAAAAAACAGGCCACCTCACTCTGTTCCTGGGAAGATTTCAGAAGATGGTGCTTGTAAAATGTCAAGCCTGGGGGCTCCAGGAACCTTCTGTCCTTCCTTTAATTCCTGGGGGACGTAGGTGATCCAGAGACTATAGGACTTAGCCTCCGAGTGCCCCCAGGGATTGACAATCTGGGAACTTTGCAGGCAACTCAGTAGGAAGATGAGTTCTCAGCCAAGCCCTGACATGAACAGAGTTGCTTGTCACAGGGGAGGTTCTCAGTTTGCCATGTGTACCTGACTCTGAGGTTCCCCAAAACTGTGCCAACATCCTTCAGCAGCTGACCACAAAGGGAAAAGGCTGTATTGAGAATATCCCCTTAGATTAATTAATTGGGGATTAATTAGTTAATCCCCAAGGAGTGAGGCCAAGTAAGTGCTCCCCAGGCCAGTCAAGCTCGCATTTGAATCAAGCTCCAAGAAGGAAGAAAAAGGTAACAGACTGCAGCAGAAAATTATCCTGGGGTACGGACCCATTAATTGTCTTTGCTGAGCCACAGAGCACTGTGACTAATCACCTGAGCTGTGGCATCAGACTGTCCAGTCCTGCTTCAATACTGCCCTACATGACCTCTAAGCTTCAGGTTTCCCCTGTTATAAAACAGGAATAATATACCTGCTAATATGCACAGAAACTATTAGCTGACATTATTGGAATGATTATGTGGTATTGAGGATCAAACCCAGTGCCTCCCTCATGTTAGGCAAGCGTTCTACCACTGAGCCCCAGCCCCAAGGAATGATATTTCTTACTGAACAGAAATATATTCCCAAGTTCATTCACTTGATAGTCACACTACATGCCTTGAGGGTTCCCAGTATACTCTCTGTATCTTTTGCTCTTATCTCCATCAGAAGGAACAGTCAGGGACCAGAGATTTTTGTCTCCAAACAAACCATGTTCTCCTCTTTACTTACTGAGAACACTCTAGTGGTTTCATGTGAAACGTTTAAATTAAATGAAGTACGTTTGGGAGTTAAGAGTAGGCTTTTAAAAGATATTACATGAAATTTCATGAGTGCCCTTGAGAAGCACTCATACAAAGAACATGAAGAAAACAGTCTGCAGCTCATAGAATGTGGCAACTTGAGCCTGATGGCACAACACACAGAATCAAATTCACTCCTCCCTGCTCCTGCCCCCAAAGTACTTTCCTTTCCTCTACTACTCCTTTTAGTTGGTAGAAGAAGTTGTTCATGAGTTATCAGGTGAAATAGGGAAACCACTTTCTTTGGTGGTCTGGGCTGGAAAACACTGTATAGTGAAAATACTGAATCATACAATGTGAAGGGAACAATTTTTCAGGCAGTAGAGAAAACACTGGATGCAGAGTTGGCTGGGGACATTAACTTGCAGTGAGATCTCATTATTTTTCAGGTCCCTTTACTCTCATACTTGCATCTCAGGACGGTTAGGTGAATGATTGAAAACACTGGCTGGCCCAGGAAAGGAGGTCAGAAAGTAGTATCCTGTAGTATACCTGATGATTCATGTTCCTTTCTGGTAAATATGGATAATTACACTTAATTTTTAAAGTTGTCATGAGATTTAAAGAAGGGAATGTGTGTTCAGAACTCCATACTTAGCATTGTATGTGCCTTAGCTCATTGTATTTTCAAAACACTAAGAAATACATAGGTATATATTACTTTAACGAGGTCTCATAGCTGCTGCATGGCAGAAATGTGAGTCCAAGTCTTTCCAACTCTTGTTCCAGCAAATTTAATGCCCTGTTCTTGCTCCCAGAAGTTGCTTCAGCCAGAATATCCTTCTTTAAAGAAGCTGTGTTTTGTGATAATGGGGCTATTTTTTTTCTGATCTCAATTTACTTCTGATTGGCATTCATCTTATGACTCTAGATACTGTTTAGTTACTTCCAAAATCCAAACTATCACTAATGGATTTGGCCTCACAGAGGACACTGAAAGGATTAAGTGAGGTCTCTGAAAACTCTTCACACATCTGAGATCCTAGTCTCTGTAATTACCATGCAGCCTTCCCCTCCCTTTATTCTTCCTTCCTCTAAGTGACTAATTTAGAGATATGAGTTGTGGAATGAACAGAGATGTATTTATAGTTATACTTCACATAAAAAAGAGTTCAAAGGGAATTCACATTGGTTGATTATTCATTATGTGTTAACATCTTTATCTGTATCTTCTCATTTTATTTCACATAAAAACTTGAAACACAGCTTTATTGTTATCCATTACCCTAATTTTGCAGATGAAAAAGCAAGGCTAACAAGTCACAGAATAGCGATTCAAACCCAGGTTTACATAACATGAAGCCTTTTCTCTCCCCATTGCCTCTGTTCCAGGAGGGAACTGGGGAGGCTTTGATGAATTCTGTCACTGGCTGGTACTGTGGCTCAGAGCACCAGTGGCTCCTCTTGGTTTCTTGGGCCCAGAGAGCACCCCTGACTCTCCATCTCTGATTCACTGTCAGTCATCTTGCAAATGCTTCCCCTTGGTTATAAGGCAGATGGGAGAGTGAGGCCTGCAACTGGATATGAGAACTCAGAGTTAATTCCCTGGTGTCAGTGGGATCATAGCACCATTGCTATCTAGAATAAGCCACCACCATTCTTGTTTCCTGTTTAAGGAGGCAAAGACCATCTAGCTAAGACCACTGCCTTGTCCTGGTGAGTAGCACTCGGTAGGATGAAAGGTACAAAGGTGCTGGACAGTCTTGGAGGGGGATTATAATGACGACAACAAAGATATTGCCTGCTTCATATAAAGCTGGGTGCACACGAGCATAAGAATGAGTGCATATATATGTTTCCTGCGTTTGGCAAGGATAGCATATATTTCTGGGCAGCTCCAGGCAAAGAAATACAGCATTTAAATTTTGCCCACGTCAGACTCTATTTGCTTTCATATATCCAGGAATGGATTGCAGGGTATTTGAGAAAATGTTAGGTGCAGATGGTTTGCACTGGGCAGTTTCAAATTTAAAGAGGGTGATGGTCCATGAACACCAGAAATGGTGGGTTGAGGTGTAAACCTTTGAAATTTTTAATTGCAGACCAGTCTGAGGGATATATACTTACCAGAGCACAATATCTCATTGTTTGCATATTCCTTTCTTGGCCAAAAGGAAGTAGGGGAAGAGCAGAAAAATAACATAATCTTCAAATGAAACTGAAACAGCAATTGGTGACAGCAGTTTGGGCTCTAGTGAATTCAGTCAAGAAAGAAATCCCTGGCTATTTACTATCGCAATTAGCTTAACTTGCTATAATATCTTTATTCCTTGCATCTGCAGGGCCCAATATATACACCAATCAGCTTCAGGTGAGAGGACTTTGTGTGGTCATTTTGACACATTCACCTCTTTATTTTACAAGTGACAGCACCCAGGCCCAAGGTGACAGCATCAGTTATTAGAAGAGAAAGCTCTGGAACCCAAGACCTCCTGGAACTGAGGCAATTATTCACCAGCTCTTGGCTTTTAATAACAGCCCATATTTGTTTACTATCTGCCAGATATAGAGGCTGGAAAGAGCTACCAGTTTAGTGGAGGTGACAGGTGCTGGATGACAATTTGGAATACAGAGAAGAAGAATTCAAAGTCTGAATTTATTTCTATCCTGGAGGAAATAAGGTATTCTCAGAGAGGAGGGAAGTCTAAGTGTTCCATGTAATGTTCACTGTTTCCATGGGGGAGTACAGGATTACTGAGGCTCAAGATAATAGCAGCCATATTTGCTCCAAGTTATAGAACTTTCCAGATGCAGTGGATGAAGAAGTAGGATTTCCTCCTAGGTGGTTCATACTTCAAAAGCTATATTCTGGAACCACTTGACCCCCAGGTACCATTTTCAACTACCTGCTATTGCCACCTGGCTATTTTCCCAGAACCTCCAGCTTTTAAAGTACTAATGGGAGAAAGTACTTCTGTTTATTGGGTACCTGTTTATTTATTTACTAATTTTTAAAATAATGCCTCTCAAAGTGCATTTCTCAACACTTCACTTTGCCAGGGAAGGTGATTTGTGTGTGTTCTCTTAGAAAATTCTTCCTTTAGTTGGTGGATGCACTTTCCTACATGAAACATGGTCCCTTGGAGGGCACTGATGAGCACCTGGCTGGGGGCCTAGTGCAGGTTCCAGCCTGGCCAATAAGGAGAGATAAACATCACACTTTCATAATGGCTTCGGATACACAAAGCAGATCTCATGCATTATGAGAACTCATAATAGCTTCCTGGAGTTGGTGTCCTTAACTTTTGCCTTCATGAGAGGCAACTGAGGGTCTAAGATCCCATAGCCTGTGGATCACTCCCTCATTCTTTTCCATTCACCTTGTCGGAGAGGCCTTCTCTGAACATTCTTCACACTCAACGCCATTGCTGGGCTCCTGTATATTTACTCCACTTTTGTTGTGTATTTACTAGTTTTCTGTTGCTCTACCAGAAGATAAGCACCATGACACCAGGATCATTGTCACCGAGTGACTCTCCAGAGCACTTTATAGGCTCTGATAAATATTTGATCATTAATGAGGTGATGCATTTCCATTTGACAAGAATCCTGTTAGTGCCAGGCCCAATAGGAGCAGAGAACAGACCCCTAACCATAGAAAATGGCAGGAGCACAGGCTGAGGAGAGGCCACAGGGCCAGCCTTCAGCCCTATCTAAGGTGCTCATCAGGAAGATCAGCTACAAGGCCACTATCAAAGGCTCCTAAAGGCTGCAATTACCAATTATGAGGCACCCCACGGGCCTAGCTTTTTTTTTCTTCTTTGTAAAATCAATTTCATCTAGAGTCAATGGTGAGGAATTACATTCTGAGCGTTAACAACAGTAGATTGAGCTAGTTTAAAAAATAGCCATCTGCTGGGGCCGAGGAGTGAGCTATCAATTGGTACTTTTGCAGCTGAAATTTGACCTTCGCTTAGCATTGGACACCATCTGCACCTGGGAAATGCCTCTACACTCCCTGATCCTCGTC